CTGAATTTTTAAAAAATGACACATAAACCCTATAAAACTTACAAATACACCCCTAATAGTTTATAAAAATTATAATTCAATCTGGTTCCTACTTGGGTACTCGAATCTCAGTTTCAGTTCCCGTTCTTGGTTCCAGCAGGGGTGGAATTGGAGTCGGAATCGAAACCGATCGATTCTTGATTTTTAGAACCGAAACCTACCCCATGAGGGTCGGTTTCGGGTAGGAATCGGAACCCCAAGTACCCGCCGGTTCCGATTGTGACCGGTTCTTTTGCACACCCCTAGACATTTCCCACTTCTATGCCGACCATTAAAGTTGTGACTTTGTGAGAGCCATAACTTCAATACAATGAGCAGCTTTTATAAAAATGCAACCACCGGCCACCACCCACTTTGCTTGGCTGTTCAATTCATAGTATGCATTTAGCATATTCATTACAGACGGCTTTAGTTTGTCAATGTTTCCTTTTTGCCAATCTCATGTAAACTCTATAAAGCTGCACTTAAGAAATCCATGAGTTCATAAAAGTTCTTGCACCAATCTGAAATCCATCTTCATTTCTTTAAATAACCCATGTTAGGGAGATTTTGGGTAACTCTTAAATGCACTGAAACTTTTAACCAAATGCATCTTTTCCATTCAACACCATTATTATTTTCAAGAGTGAAGAGCAGCTAAATTTGAGTTCTTTGCTTTGCTTGTACTTCTTCACAACATGTGCAACTTCAGATTCCATCAATGGATTTTCATTTTCCTTCTTGACCCTGTTATGTGTAAAAGCTCCATTATATCAGAGAAAAATCATTGCTTGGGATATAAACTGAACCACTTCAATTTCTTTGGCACCAATCAAGGAATTTCTAAGCAATTCATTTTAGCCAGAAGTGCAAAAGAATTTATTCCTATCATGAAGCCAACAGTTCACTTTCTATTGTATCAAACTTCACTACGGACATATCAAGGATTCAACTACACCATATGAATAAAACACTTCATGTGATGGATATTTGTTTGTATACTCAATTCATGATTGCCTTGATATTTCCCCCTTTGAGCTGACTATTCCATAATAATAGGGTTCATAATTGTGCTGGTGTTACAAGTTATCTGGATTTAGCTTGTCAAAGTTAAGCAGAATCTCCCCAACTTATAACACAAAACTATATTGAACCCAGAAATGACCCTACCTTGTTAAAAAAAAATGATGTAAAATATCTCCCTAGTTGATATTTTTGACTTATTTGGAGGATACAATTTGTACGTAGTGTCATATTGTAGATTCGTCGTATTACACGTATCAAGAACTATAAGTTTTCTTTCTTCGTACCCTTTTTATAATAAAGAAAAATTTGAGTCTTCCATCATCACATTCGTTGAGACGGAATGATATGAGTTTATCATTTTCTTTAAATGATCATTGTACCTAAAAACTTACGCGCGGGTTAAACTCAGAAAACTTTATAGATGAGATGAACGATGAACATTATAAGTACCATTTTAGTTACACTTTAAATGTGCTAATGGGAACACATCTAAAAATGTCAGAAGGCCAAACTCTGAAATATGAATCCATTGTTTCCTCCTCTATTAGACTTTTGCAATTAACTGACACAGCACAGTGCACATGGAAGCTTTAAACAAGCTGTGAAATATTTTTGTTGAAATGTCACTTCATCTCGATCAGTTTGATTATAGCTCCCACATGCTCTCAGCTTGCTTTTCTTTTGTCAGAATTGACCTGTCTTTATTGCTCGATTCATGAAGCTAGAGCTACAGATGGGAAGGCCTCTTCAATGGCGTCCTGTAGGCTAGCTGCAGTGTCATTAAAAGGCCTCAAATGAAAACACTCCAAGATTAACCCACTTGATAATTTTGTGTTTTGCTGTATAATACTATAATTATGTAATTGGGTGCAAAAAGAATAAGATTATTAAGCTGGAATAAGAAAAGTAGCCACAACAAAGGACAATAATTCATTCCATAAATTACTATTCTTGCCCAAGCTTTTTTTTTTTTAGTTATCCAGTCAGTTTATACGCACTTCAACTAATCTTTCAGGACCCTAAAATAAACGATCGAATAAATCTCCTTAATGGTCACACCTATTAGCTAGAAGATTTGAACTCAGGAACTTCTTTGTTACCATGAAACCACCCAATGGCGGTTGCCTTGCCCAAGCCTTAAGTATTGAATGCAAACCAAAATTTTACTCACAGATTGTTTCTTATTTCCTTAAAAATTTTGCTTCATTAAGCCAAAGCCTGCAAGTTTAGGTTCTTTTTTATCAAAACTTGTCAAATCTCGGATCCAATCAAGCAAATATTGTTCGCTTTGGTTTTTTCGTTTATTTTAAGTTCATATGGGTTTTCAAGGTCCAACTTAGGGGTGTAAACGAGTCAAGCCGAGTCAAGTTTTCGGTTTTACGAGCTCGACTCGTGTGCTGCGAGATCGAGCTCGAGCTCGCTCGCAAGCCTATACTCGAGCCCAACTCGTCAAGGCTTGGTTTGATTAAGGTAAATTCCAACCCTACAGTCTATTTTTCCCTCCAAAACTAGTTTAAAGCCACAAATTTGCATCAATTAATACCTATTGCATAGCTTGCATCATATCAACCATGATAACAGTCTAGAAAATGAAAAAAATACAGTCCAGGAAATGAAAAAAACAATTGTCCAACAATCAAAATAATAGGTGGCTATCGTATGTAGACGGGTTGTCCTATACTGAAACCACAATTTTCCCCTGGCTGCAAAAAATGTTAAATTTATTAAGTATCTTTTTAGGTAACTAAAATGAATAATCATGCAACAAAACCGAAATGAATCAAACTTTTACCTACGTATGCCTCCTACCACAGCCAAATCATGTACTAAATCCTAGGAACTTACGAGATAGGAAGCGTGATCTCCAACGGTTGCTCCTCTTCCTGAAAATGACATAAGAGAAGTAATTGAATTTAGTTAGTATAAATATAATGTAATTATTGAATTTAATCAAAAGAATATTCAATATAACTTACTTTGCACCCTTTCTTCACCCCATTCAATGTTTGACACCAATCGCATCTAGGTAAAAGCATCTTCACAGTGTCGGGAGCCAACGACAATCGATAAGTGTCAATAACCCTACTCTCGGTGCTGAAAGCAGACTCAGAAGCAGTCATAGTGATAGGGGTGACTAATATGTCACGAGTCATGGCAGACATAATAAGGAACTTCATTGTATTTGCCTTCCACCATGTCAAAGCATCAAACGTCGCAGGATCTCCCACACATTTATGACACCCCTCTCCCAAATAACAATCTAACTCTGATTTAGTTGGCTCAACTATCTTGACCATGTCTAGAAACTCACTAAAATCATCCCAAACCTCTGGCCCGTCAATCGTTGCCCCCGACCCCTCACCAACTACTTGAAGTCCATCCCCTGCAGATGTATAAGCGCGGGCAGTAGTCAATGCTCTACTGGCATCGGCATACTCCCCATAGACCTCATACAAGACATCCTGAACACTAACAATATTTGCCTGCGCTTCAGCCTCAGGATACATCTTAGGGAACGCCCATTGAATCACTCTCATCTTCAGTCTAGGGTCCAATACAGCACCCACATCCATCAGTAAATTACATTCCCCCTAATATTTGTGAAACTTTTGCTTCATTTTCCTAACCATGGTCCTTATAAATTCATCTTCATGTTCACTCTTAGTATCCAACATAATCTTGATTGAACAAACTTGTTTTAGAAACAAGTTTGATGTCGAATAATCACTGCCCGATATGAGATTGGTCGCATCACTGAACACCTTTAAAATTTCACAAACTTTCTCTACTTTGTCACAATCCTCCTCCTTGGGACAATATTGATAACTGATATCCCTCTCCTCCAAACTAGGGAAAACACGTCTAAACCTGACCGTCGTGTCAATATATCATATGTTGAATTCCACTATGTTTTGCAATCAAGAATAAGCTTGATTTTTCATCTACTTTAGGCTCAGGTCCATACGGGTTTGTATTTTAAATTCACACAAGCATCCTCCACGCAAAACACATCTACTTAATAAGGCAGATGTAAACCTTAAAAGCTAAATCTCAAACTCATTCGTTAACAATCTAAGATGTGATAAAAACAAAATATGATAATGGTATATAAGCAAAATGTCAAGTTCTATTAGACCAAAATAAGTTGAGCAAATGTGTAATTGGTTTCTTTTAGGCCAACAGACATTCCCATTGTGATTCGTATAATTTTTCATTTTGCTTGATTAAAACACAGAGTGTACAGGGAGGTTCTTTCTTCTCATCACCACCAACCGGTACTTAAAAAAAAGGACAATCTGTATTTCCAGCATTACTATTATTGATCTCACTCATCAATCACCATTATCAGATAATGGAGAGAACTTGACTAAGCCTTTTTTTTTTTTAAATCCAAAGCATGTTATATCACTGTTACAACTTGAAATTTCTTCCTTTTTTCTCTGTTTTATTAAACTAGGAATCCTTTTACAAGCTTAAACAGGCTGTTGGGAATAAAGCCACGTGGTGTGTCTGTATTCATCAATTTTATTATAATCATAATTAAATCTGCTACATGGGGGTTTGATTTTTATATAAATCCATGCTTATATGAATAACAATAATGGGGGAAATTTTATTACAGTAAACGACTTTTTCCCACCAAGGTTTGCATTAATGACACTTTCACGCTCAAAAGGTTTCAAACTACTACTTTCTCACCCAAAGTTAATATTCTGTTTCCACCCAAAGCCAACTTCGACCGATTTTAGTGACAAAAATTATCTTCGTCACCACCATTTAAACCTTTGGTATCTTTCCTACAAAAACTCTTTCGCTCTGACACCTGATTTCTTATCGATTGCCGATCAATGCAAAGCTAAGGTTTCATATATATCTTTCCTACANATAGAAGTGTGATCTCCCATATACTGAATCCCAGGAACTTACGGGATAGGAAGCGTGATCTTCAACGATTGCTACTCTTCCTGAAAATGACATAGAAGGAGTAATTGAATTTAATTAGTATAAATATAATGTAATTAATGAATTTAATCAAAAGAATATTCAATAAAACTTACTTTGCACCATTTCTTGACCCCATTTAAAGTTTGACACCAATCGCATCTACATAAAAACATTTCCACAGTGTCAGGAGCCAATGACGATTGATAAGTGTCAATAACCCTACTCCCAGCGTTGAAAGCAAACTCAGAAGTAACCATAGTGATAGGAATAATTAATATGTCACGAGCCATGGTAGACAAAATAGGGAACTTCGTTGCATTTGTCTTCCACCATGTTAAAGCATCAAAAGCCATAGGATCCCCCACACATTTATGACACTCCTCTCCCAAATAACAATCTAACTCTAATTTAGTTGGCTCAACCGTCTTGACCACATCCAAAAACTCACTGAATCCATCCCAAACCTCTGGCCTATCTACCGCTGGCCCCGACCCCTCACCAACTACCTGAAGTCCATCCCCTTCAGATGTAGAAGCGCAGGTAGCAGTCAATGCTCTACTGGCATCGACATACTCCCCATAGACCTCATATAAGGCATCCCAAACAATAACAATATTTGCCTGCGCTTCAGCCTCAGGATACATCTTAGGGAACACCCACTGAATCACCCTCATCTTGAGTATAGTGTCCAATACAGTAGCCACAATCATCAGCAAATTACACTCCCCCCAATATATGTCAAACTTTTGCTTCATTTTCCAAACCAATGTCCTTATAAATTCATCTTCGTGTTCACTCTTACTATCCAACATAATCTTGATTGAACAAACTTGTTTTAGAAACAGGTTTGATGTTGGATAATCACTCCCCGATATGAGATTGGTCGCACCACTGAACACCTTTAAAATTTCACAAATTTTCTCTACTTTGTCCCAATCCTCCTCCTTGGGACAATACTGATAACTGATATCCCTCTCCTCAAAGCTACGGAAAAAACGTTTAAATTTGATTGTCGTTGCCAACATATCATATGTTGAATTCCACCGTGTTTTGCAATAAAAAATAAGCTTGCGAAATGGCAATCTCCGCTGCAAAACAATCTCTGAAAACACCTTTAGCCTACTCTCTGACGAATTTATATATACCACGCTGTCACGGATGTCCTTTGTAATATGTCTAATCTGATACAGATCATCTTGAACAACCAGATTCAAGATGTGTGCACAACATCTAACATGAAACAACTTACCCCCACACATGAGCTTCCCCGTAGCTTGGAAATTTTCCCTTAAGACCTTGACTACCACATCATCGATTGCAACATTGTCCACTGAGATTGTGTGGACCTTTGCTTCAATTCCCCACTCCATCAAACACTTGAAAATGACATCAGAAATGGCAACACCAGTACGGGGAGGAGGGAAATGAACAAAATTCAAGACCCGTCTATTCAACTTCCAATTTTCATCAATCCAATGCCCAGTCAACACCATGTATTCTATCCTCTGATTGTCTAAACTCCATAGATATGTGGTTAGACTTATTTTCCTAACACCTTTCAATATGGTCTTCAACTTTTGCTTCTCATTATCAAACACTTTAAAACAATCATTCTTGCATGTATTATGGGAAATCAGACTCCATTCAGGAATCCCGTACTTTAACATATTGTTCAACCCCTTTTCATTCACAACAGAAAACGGATGCTCATGCATCATCAACCAATGTGCAATAAGCTCCCTTATCTTAAGCATACTGAACTGGCCTCGTAGAGCAAGAAGGATAGTATTGGTACCTTGAGAACTGGCAGGAAAATTTATTTGTTGTTGCCTCAAGAAATCTTTTCTCTTCGCACACCTCTTTAAATGTCTATTGAATTGGGTAGTGCTTCCAATGGCAGTCATTTTCAGCTTGGTTTTATAGTGAATGCACTCTGCCTTCTTTGTACCCCTAGAGAGAACCACCTCCCTAAATTCTGACCACACCGCTGATGTCTTGGCTCTCTTCTTCCTCTATAGTGGATTGTCATTATCCACAACATTTTCGGGGCTACTCACACTTGCTTCCGTACCACATGTGCTTGCATAAACGTTACACCGATCAACTGCTCTGATTGTCACACAATCGTCGACGTCATCCAATGTAGGGGTGCTTGAGGAAGTATCATCCGAGGCCATTCCTACAATTGAAAAACCAAATCAACACTCAAGAAAATAAAAGTAATAGTCAAATTACATCACTAAGAAAAGAAATAGTCAAATTGGAGAGAAGGTTCTTGCTGGATTTCATTACATAACCAAAAGTTTTATAACAAAACAAATAAAGCAAAAATATGCTGTTTACTACCACTTTGCAGGGATATTTTACACAACTTTAAGCCTAAACCATACATTAAGACCCGTTATAATAATATAGATCATAGGAGAATGTTTAAAGTAAAGAATGCTTGGCTGGCTGGTTTTAGTATCCGATTGTAAATGATACTTGTTATAGCAGGTCATATACATGTAAAGAATGTTTGGCCATGTACATGTAATATGGCTGGTTTTAGTATCCAATCGTTGCATATAGATCTCGAGGTCATTAGACTGTTGGCTGGCTGGCTGGTTTTAGTATCTGATTGTAAATGATGCTCCCAGGTAAAGAATGCTTGGCCATATACATGTTGTTTTTGAATAGTTTTAGAGTATCATAGGAGAAAGATGTTTAATTTTACATTTAATAAGAAATGCAAATAAAATTTTGGTTATTGGGAATCTGAATTTGAAAATTACTAGGATGTGTGAAGTTCAATGTGTAATTTTACATTACTTAATTGTGAAATAATCTAATCTGGAAATGGAATTTTTGTGAAATTGCCCTAATTGTTAAGTTACATGTTGGTTGTTGCTCAAGCTCAATGTGTTGGAGTGCGTTGATTTTTCTACCAAAGAAAGAACAAATTGAGTCACTAGAATTGATATTTGCATGTTCATGGACAGACCCAATTCATCAATGTGTTACAAATTTTCTAGCCAAACAAGAAAACGAAAATGGCACCAAAGCTCACTAATACATATTGAAATGAAATATTTGTAACAAAAATGGCTAACTCACCAAATTCTTCATTCTATTTTTTACCGACGACGATGGCAAGAAGACGTGATTAAGGATGTTGCTTTCACGGTGGACTAAAGATTTGAGGGTTGAAGTGGATTTGTGGGTTTACGGTTTGCGTCGATTTGGGGGTGAAGAAATGGTTTCAATGTTTGCGAGATGGAGTCGTCGTTTCTCCTACTTGTTTTACAGTCGGTGACGACAACATGGCGGGATGAATTTGCCTGATTCGCGGTGGAGATGTTTAGGGTTCTTTTGCGATTTGGGGGAAACTAATTTGGGTGGGAAATTGTCGTGTTTTACTATTTTTAAGTCAGGGGGTAAATGTCATTTTTTGAAGTTTTTTGAAAGTCCAATTTTACAGATCTACCCCATATGGTTTATAAAACTAACCCAAAGTTCCCTACAAGTTCGAGCCACACCAAGCTTGCGAGCTCACGAGTCAAGCTTCCTCCTGTTCGAACTCGACTCGATCACCCCATCAAGTTTGAGTCAACTCGACTCGACTAACAGTGAGTCGAGCTCCAGACAAATCGAGTCGAACCGGCTCGTGAGCCGCTCGACTCGTCTGACAATCCTAATAAAGATAGCTAACAAACCCTTTTCACTAATTTTCTCATTTTTCTCTTACAAATCTGGTAGCTCGTAATTGGCTAGTTTGTATTTGGGCAGAAAATATCTGTTGTTTGCAAGGAACTCATTTGCGAGCTATCCAAATGCGTCAAGATAGGCTCACAGTCCATCTTGTAATCTTTCTTTCACAACTCAATTTGTCATCTCACAAAATTTGGCAAATGGGACTTATAATTGGTTAGGCAGACTCATTGTAAATTGGGGTAGATGGGCTCATTGTAAATTGGGTAGACAGAATTAGTTGTGAGTTGTATCATCAGTGTAGTATTGCCCTAATTAGTAATAAAATCTCATAATTATAAGTTTAGCTATTGTTACTGGAGAACATATTTGTATTCATGACTTTACTAATATCCAATTAACAAAAAATTCATCATTAATCACAGATTAATTTTAAATTAACTAAAAAAATAATTAATCCCTCCCCCGTCCCCTCCTTCGTCACTCGTCAGTCTTCATCATCACCACATTTACTTCCAAATGCTCCAATTATTTATAATTTTATATAACATTTTCAAATCGACACATAAACAGCAAGCAAACACAAAGAGTGACAGCCTCATCATCACCAATCTTGTTGTACTGCACTACCTGGCAACTATAACAATTCACAAGCCATCGTCCTCAGCTCCACATCTACAATCAACCCTCCAATTCTCTACTCCACCTTTGTGCCTCAGCTTTGTATTAAAGCCTAGCCCACTTCTAAATACATTTTTATTTTTGACAAGTTTAGTGTGAAAAAACTATTAAAAAGGACTATTCTATATTTTTTGTTTTGGGAAGTGTTGTTTAAGCTTTTCAGAAACTGAGTAAACCCCATTTGAAATTAAAAAAAATAAAAAATAAATTTAAATATTATCATAATTTATTTCAAAACTATCTATTTTAACCCTTCATTTTCAACGAAAGGGTTTTGTTCAAAGAAGTTCATTACTTTTGTAACAACCAGAGTTGATGTGGGACCGGATAGGGTGTTTGCGTAATTAAGGATAATCAGTTAGGAAGAGAGTAATAAAGAGATGACAAAAGAACAAAGAGTATTTTTAAAGTGGTTTAACGGGTTAGAACCAAACTTACATCCACCGTTATCTAATTACTTTGTATTTACTTTACACAAAGAGTGATTATAGGATGAAAACACGTAATAGCGATGTTCTTGTGTGAATGATCGGTCCCCAAAACAAAGGTGATGCTTCCCTTTTATAGGGGGTGGATTATATGCATAATTCTCGTAATTCGTATTTGAGTCAGCCCTTCCCATACTATTAGAGCTAGCGGTGGACCGTGCCGACCTATGACACAACATGAAAAAAGCACGACACGACACGACCCACGATTATGTGGGTCGTGCCATAGGCCTTAAAAAATGCACGTAGGCCGGCACGACATGACACAAAAAAAAATTAAAAATGAAAAATTAAAATAGCCCTTAAAATTTCATTAGAAAATGTTAGACCTTTATTACTTCAAATGTATTCAAATTATGAAGTTAAATGCGGAAACACAACAAATATACAACCACCATCAAGGTCAATTTCCTCTAGAGGTAAAGAGCGTATTGGTCTATCATCACTAAAGGTAAACAACCAGTAGGTGCAAGCTCTTCATATAGTGAAATTACAAATTATTTAACCATGGATCATTTCGTTGAAATTATTATTCAAAATGATCGATTTGATAGTCTTTGATGGTGGAAAGCACATCAAAATACTTATCCTGTACTTTCTACCTCGTGCGTGATTTACTAACGCCTCTAGTTTCTACTGTAGCATCAAAATCAGCTTTTAGTGTCGGTGGACATGTATTATTGGACGAGAGAAGATCAAGTTTACATCCAAGTCCTGTTGAAACCCTTATGTGTATGAAAGATTGAGTGGCAGTAGATTTCAAGCTTCAAAATAGTGTTGTTGAAGATATATTTGAAGATTTTAAGAATTTAGAAATTAATGAAAATGAAGATGTATAATGTTAAAATGGTGAAGTCTGCGACGTCGTTTAGAGCCAAGCAAAAACGCTGTCGTTTTGTTCATTATACTCCAGTTAATCTCATCCATTCAATTAAACATGACCCAACGGCTCCAGTTCAATCAGAAGTCCACAATATAAACGGGAACTATTCACGCATTTCGCAATCAGGTCGTGTATTAGGGTTTCTCTCTTTTTCTCTGTAAATTCGTTTGTTACCTGGGTTTGGGTTTCATATTCATTCTGGTTCTTCTCTGTGTGAATCTTTCTAGAGTCTTATTTTGAGGGCAGGGTGTTCCTTAAAGGGTATAGAGTGCTCTAGTGGTTGTTGGGGTTTGCGGGATAAAGAGAAGTGAATGAGTGTGTGAATTTGTAGTTGACAGTGAAGGAGATTCGACTGTAACTGTAATCTTTGAAATGATTAATACTAGTGCAGCGAGCTCCATATTCTGGAGTTCAACGTGGATGTAACTTATTCTATATTGAACAAGCGAACCACGGTAAAATTGGTTGTGTATTGATTATTTGTTTGTGTTTGGTTTGATCTTGAATTGGTGTTTAGGTTTGCAAGATTAGGGTTAGTTTACAACAGTGGTATCAGAGCCTAAAGTTCTAAAGTGAGTCTAGGTTTAGAAATCGTTCAACTCTTGACGAATTCGAAAACTAGGGTTTGTCAGTTTTGGGGGTTTTTCGACTTAAAGGTTCCTAGATCACTAGGACTTCAAATCTTGCCGAGTCTTAGGATTAATTCATGAGATTAGGTCACAAACACAAGGGATAGACGAAAAGAGGGCAAAATCAAAATTAGGGTTTTGATTAGGATTTGGGGGTTTTCTTTCAAATTAGGTTTCAAATCGTCCTGAATCTATTTAATGGTATCTAAGCTGGAAAACCAGTAACTGCCTTAAAAACTGCTTGACAATACTTGGCAACCTCTGGTGTAACAAAGCCATGTACTCTTTAGACTGTTCTGTCCTGTCATTATAAGTATGATGAAACTACCACGCATGTAGAGATATCCCAGTATGATGGGAAGATGGATTTCAATACCTGGAAGAAGAAGATGAAGGCGCTTCTATCCCACAACAAGGTGGGAATAGCACTGGAAAAAGATGAAACCAAGTGGCCAGAAGAAAAGACGAAAAGGAAAGCAGAGATAGATGAGGAAGCATACAATCTGATAATCATGAATTTATCAGATAATGTTCTGCGAAAAGTGGATGGTCTTGACACACCAATAGAGGTCTGGGGTAAACTCGAAACTTTGTATGTATTGAAATCTGCTCCTAATTTAGCATTCTTGAAATGTGCTCTGTTTTCTTATAAAATGGATGCCTTTAAGTCATTAGAAGAAAATTTAGATGAATTTCTAAAAATGACATTAGTGTTAAAAGGAACTGATCAGGAATTAGGAGATTCTAGTTTGCAATGATTTTGTTAAATTCTCTTCCTGATGAATATTTAGTAGTAAAGAATGCAT